TAACAAGAAAAATAAAGCAGATCAGAATATCTGGTCAAAACTCATGAATGTTCAGTTTGCTAGTAAAAAACGAAGATGTGAAGCGAAGGACATATATCAAAAAGTAAAAATATACTTTATATAAAATTGCCTTAATTGTTAATGCTAAATACAACAAGATTATAAAAACAGGGGGTTTCCATTAAAAAAAAAAATTTGGCAGTGGACAAGGCCGTTGACCCATCAACTCCGAATTATCAAAATTTTTTGTTTGATATAATAACAACACTTCCAACAACAATATATTTTTAGGGAACATACATAACAAATGCAATTATTTTTGATATACACAATTAAACCAGAATTTACCGAACACACAAGCCTAGCAAAAGTATTAACAAAAAGGTGATTCAAACAATTTTCAAAGAGCATTTGAATAAAAGTTAGGGAATATCGGTTTCCTCAGATGAAAATGAAAATTAATTAATTTTCCTTAATTTTTGCAAAAAAACCCATACAAACACACAACTGTTATATATAGCGTTTTTTCAATAAGAATTAAGATTTATTTATTTACTCTAAATAATTTAGATTTAATTTAGACCCAAAATGGGGTTAGGATAGGGGTTTGGGCCCAGCACATTTTTTATTCAAATAATTTATTTGATTTTGTGCAACATTCTCTCTTGTTTCATTTTAATCAGATTGAATTAAAATAGGCCTATCAAATATCAAATCTAAGAACATCTCACAAGATGGCAACAAATTGGGAAAAGTTTTACCCATCACCAATAAAATATAATGTACTTACCAAGATTTTCTGGCGACGGCGAGGGTAGCTCCTGTTTAACTACCTCTATCTCATCCTTAACCATTTCAGTTTCAAAGTGAGGTTGATCAATTATCTCTTCCTTGACTTCACTTTTGCTAAAAATGTATACACGTGGACATAAAGCCGTTACCGAATTTTTACCTAACATTAAACTCACACATAGTCGCAAAGTTCCTCGTTAAGCATATCAAGGCAGGTGGGTATATATGCTTTTGACTCGGTTTCGTCTACGTAGTTATCACATACATCCGATTTTATTTCAAACAGTAATTCCATAATTTTAAAAATCTGAGAAACACTCGTCTTAAACCGAATTAACAAAATACTCAAATAATTTAAAATCAATATCACTTTCCTGTTTTTCCTTAAGCCATACACAAAACAATTGCAATTCAATTCAATGATGCGTATCACCAAAAACCGTTGGGCTAGACTACTAGGATCATTCGCCCAATTGCAGCTGATAAAAACAAAATTCTTCTTTTATTGTGATTAATTTCCATAATTTGGGCGGCATTGCTAATTTATTTAAAAATTATGCGCGAAAAGAACGTTTCTAATCTTGCAATAGGTATCACATTTTTGAATTAAGTAGAGTATAGCCGGTAACTGAAATTTTTGGTGAATTTAAGAGAAATTATTGTCCTTACTAGTTAGTTTTGGTTAATGTTTCTTGCCTTAATGCAACTGGTAAAAGCTCAGTAACTATAGAAAAAACTAATATCAATTATTTTTCCCGCTGCAAAAAAGAACTTTCTGCAAGTCAACTATGGAAGGGTCATTTGGCAGTTGACATACTACCAGTATGCAGTTTTCGAATCATAGGTGTTGTGTACACTATCTAGATTCTAGTGAAAAGAAGGCACGTTCTATAGAACTAAATTCTGTTCATATTACATTTATATCTTGAAGAGTATTTAGATTTTTTTGGCAGACAATTTCAGAAAAGTTTTTTTATCAATATAGTACACTAACGATCATGATTCGTGAAAACTGGTGAATATATGCGGCGCCTCCGTCATTATGGCGGGAAGTATTGGTCTGTCAGGAATACGTTGAGGATTAGTGGAAAAAGCAGCATAAGTGCAAAAATTGGTTCATGTTTAAAACTCGCTCTTCAATAGATCACTTACATTTTTGGCTAAATAATGACAAGAAAAAAAGTTTAATATTTCAAAACCATTTCTTGTACTTAGGCTTACTTTCTTGCCAGGAACATTTTTTTTTATCGCGGTTAAAATATATGCGTAAAAACTACTGTTTTATTCAATGCTAATAATAATAGGTGCAGAATGCCATGCCGTTTCCGCTACTTGCTGTATTTTTTTACGCCCTTTCATTCTAGTTACAAACATTTTTTTTATTATCATTATTATTATTACTAAGAACAAAGTGCAGAGGAAAACCTATCATGCACATTGGTAGTTAGTAACACAACACACATAATAAACATTTAGTTATTGCTGTGAAACAATAGACTGTCCAAGCGACGTTTAAATACAGATAAGTTCGGCGCACACACATCTTGGGGTAAACTGTTCCAATAATCGAAAGTCCTGTTACTTATAAAATGCAGGTGGTCATGCGCAAACGTATACATTTGAATGAGATCCGCTCCATGGGTTCCAGACTGGGAAAGCAATTCCAGGATGGGGCGAATGTAAGTGGTGAAAAGCCTGCAAGGGATGCGAGGACTAGGATTTTTTTTTTAAATATTATATATATTATATTTATACCATTATATTTTAAATTTTCCAGAAAATTATAAAAATACTCTTTAAAACTAAACTAAGCTATTCAACTTTTTTTAAAACAGTATTTGATCCATCCCCCATTCTCAATTTGAGAAGACGAGAAAAAAAAAGGTTCAAACAATCCACAACACTCTGAAAATACTACACTTTTTCTCTTGGCTGATTTACCTATAAATATTTATTTTTCTAAGTTGTAGGACTAACGATTCCTGAGATATGGCCGACGTCCTTTATTAATGGGTCATCCGGTACAGCTGATTTGCCACAAAAAAATTGCAGTAAAATAAATTAAAAGCGAAGCACGAAAAAATTAAACTCGCAGCTCAAGAACAATCAATCAAATTGTCGGGAACTCAATGGTTTACTTAATAATATTTTACAGGTCCCCCAAGGGCAAGTATTAGGGCAAACCCCTCTACTTCCCTTGTGATAAAACAAGTAGCTCAAGGTATGACAATCACATGAACTATTTATGCAAGTTATTTGGAGAATGTCTTTTAACTTAATAACTTTTTTCAGGACCCCCGAGGACAACTATTATGGCAAACCCCTCTAGATCGCGTGTGATAAAACAATCAGATCCAGGTATGTCTTTTGGAGAGAACAGAATTTTTCTTATTACAATCACATAAACTATTTATGCAAAGTTAGTTGGAAATTTAATTTTTTTCAGAATGTCTGAGGAAACCTTTAAAGGAAAACCAAGACTCTAATCTAGAAAGATTTTTTTTTTCCTTTTCCTGTTGTCCATTTTTTCAGTTCAACCTTTTGCTTCGGATAAAACCACTATACAATTGTTAGTGGAGGGTTATAAGCATCTTAAGGATGCATTTAGACATCCTAAAATTAAAAAAAAAACTATGGATGGAAATTAAAAATATCTTCCACTCAAAAGGATATAATTTTGGATAGAAAATGGAGAAACTTCAAAAAGACTTTCACAGGCATCAAGGAGAATATACGGAAAACTGGAAGGGGTAGAATATACTAGTAATATTATTTCCAGTTTGCTGAAATATGTAGGGAGGACAAAACGGTTAACCTCCCTAAACTAATAATGTCGGCATCAATGCCTGGTATAAGGCAAGAAGAATTAGAAGTGCTGAAAACAAAGATCCTGCTATTCCCGTGACGCCGCCCATGGAAACCACTCTGAGGGAAACACCTGTATCCACCCCGTATGTTCAGTTTCAATATTTTTTTTATTGGTAACAATACACAAATTAAAGGTTCATAACAATTTTTCTTTTAGAAGTTCCCAAACGCGAGAGACAAAGAGTGGAATGTTTTAACTTCGAAAAAGGCTGGCAAATATTGAGGAAGCTCGTGTGGAGGAAATTAAACTGTTACGAAACGCCATTAACAGAAGCAACGAAATCCAGGAGGAAAGGAATAAAATTTTGCGCGAATTGTGTGAATTACAAAAAAAAGCAATAACAGAAATATATTCTATTCGTTATAAAGCATATTTGCTATTTGATTTCTCTTATTATTTCCATTCTCATCTGCAATATTCACTTCCAGGTGTGGTAACTCCTCTTCTATTTCCTCTTCAACTACTTCATTTAAAATTAAGAAATTGTGAAGAAAACATGCAGCACAAATAATTTCAGTTCCAAGATCTGGATCACATTTCTAAATATTTCAATTGTCTAAATTTGCCCTTCAAACTCTCTTTTAATCACTGAAAGAATAGAGTTTATTCTATAATTATAATTATTTTGGATGGCATTCAAGTGACCATTGTCCCTATATGGTGTTAACAAATTCTGCATTAATGGATAAGCCGAATCTCCAAGCAAATGCAAATCTCTTGGTAATAATGGATTGGTTTCATTAATTAATTTTTGATATAGATCACTGGTTCTAAATGCTCTTGCATTATGAACTCTTCCTTGCATCCCAACAAATATATCAATAAATAGCATTTGATGATCACAGACACCTGAAAATAAAATACTGTAAAAATTAGAAGACAAAGCTAATTTGCATTCATTATTTCGGTTCGCAAAGCGAAAATTGAAATTATAAAAGCTGCTTGCCTCTGAGTAACTTCTGATAACATTAGGCATAGGCTGAATAATATTCACTAACTAAATATATGGCCAGAAAATAAATATTAACACTTTTATGTGAATGAGATGTGAAGCATAATTTTAAAAAATACCTTGCACAATTATTGAATGGAATTCTTTCCTATTGTAATAGTCATTAGCATTGCTGTTTTATTGGGATATGAGAACCATCTATAGCTCCTACTACACCTGGAAATCCATGGGACCTTTCCTGAAATACCTACAACAAGTTTTATAAATACTTTTTTTGATAGGGCATTAAAATCCCACTAACGTTAATAGCATTTTCATGATGTCTTTGCAAAGATATAAACTGAGGCATAATCTGTACAAGAATATGCACAACCATATGAGCTGTACTTCTTGCTAATCCAAATCGATCTCCTGCAGCTAAAAATGACTCGGGCTTAGCCAGTACCCATATTGTAAATAAAACTTTTTTTTCAAGACACATGGAATGTCTTTCTGCTCTGATATGTGCTAGACGTTGTAGTAAATTCTAAAATAGACTTTTTGTAATAAGTTTACAAGCTTATTTCCATACAGGAATACCTCAAATGTAGGCCTCGTCATACGAAAATGTTCTAAGAATAAGTTTCCTTCATAACTCCCTATAGTCTTTTCATAATACTTTTTATTTCTTGGTATTGGCCACCTACCACCTTCATGATCCTCAAATAATCGAATGGGCTTCTCAAGTTCCGAAGCCATTTGACCAACCATATTTATATTTATATCAGCCTGGGTCATTTGGTTGTCAAGTAAAATGTTTATAACGTCCATTTCGGCTAATTGCTTTAGTAGGTACTAGAATACAAAGAAGTTTCCACTTTATTAACACGCTTTAAATTAGCAGCACTACTCACAAATATAATACACAATAACCTCTATTTCTGTCAAAAACGGAAGCGGCAGCGCTACCTAAAGGGAGCGCTTTGCTACGTCCGCTGAATGCGACCAATGTTGGCGTTGGTTTGTCAAAGATAGTAAATGAGTAGGATGGTTGGTGATCAACGCGATTTGGTATCCAAGTTAAACATAGTTAAGTCATATTTTACAAACGATCTCTAAACATTTAAACAACTCGATTATCTCGATTAATCTCTATTCGACTATTCTGTTGCAATATATTTACTGCGTCAATGAAGAAAACTGTCACTTTGCGATAAATTTATTGTCTCTACAATATAATACACATATCACCATAACAGGACCAGCAAACCGTGAGAATTTGACTGTGGTCTCGGGTTCGATTTCTTATTCAAGTTAACCATAGTTGACTTCTAAACGATCTCTAAACATTTAAGCATCTCGATTATCTCGATTGATCCACATTCGACTATTCTGTTGCAATATATTTACTGCGTCAATAAAGAAAACTGTTACTTTACGGTAAATTTACTGTTTCTACAAGTAATATAATACCACCATAACAGGACCAGCAGACCGAGAAAATTTCACTGCGGGATCTTATATAGTCCAAAAGTCAATATGGTTCTACGTTTATGGCCGAGTGACCATGACAATAAATATAAACTATGAGCGAGGCACAGTATAATAAATACAAGTTTAGTTGATTAAATATGTAAATAAGTTACAATTATATAAAAAAATATAAATAAATAAAAGCAGTTCCACAAGCGTCGATCACCATTCATTGAGCTGTCTCGTCTCTTTGGGACATGTTGCACAGTAACGACACGAAGTCCTAGTCCGGCATTTGGGCCAATAATATAATTGTTCCTCGTCTTCGTTGATGTCCCCCGTTCCACCGGAAACAACTGTCGGGATGATGCTGGGTTCCCGATATGTTAAAGGTGCGACACGCACCAGTTCGAGATCTTTTCTAGGTATGATGTCGTATTTGGGTACAGCTTTATAATAGGTTGTGTCTTTCTCGACCAAGGGTGAATAGCGACAGAAACATTTTCCTGAAGGTATGCTTTTTACATTCACTGTTTCCACTTGCGTAGGTTCTTGGACGTAAACAACGAACTCAGGATTCGAGTAGTATTCACCTCCACATCTCGCGTAACATCTATGGTAAGATATTTTCGGCTCTAGGTCGTTCACTTGCTGCAATGAACTGCTTTCGCTAAGCGCCGTTGAGGTTACGTATTGGGTATTCGTTTCATATGGTGGTGGTGCCGCGATATGTTTTTCTGTGACGATGTGGTTTGGATACGTCCACATAGGAGGTCTCACAAGTTGCGAATATGTGTTTGGTCTATAATCCAATGTCCGCGGGGGACTAGGAAGGGAATTCACTGGGACAGGATAAAACCCATCCATGTCTACGGGAAATTTCCCACTGCCAGATGATGCTTCGTCTATGTCGTCGAGAGTGATTGATTGTGGCACATGTTTATCGCCGATGGGATAAGTCACCAGCAGTTTCGAGTCTGTGCAAGACTTGCATCTGTAGGGCACCAAGGATTTATTCAACAGCGATTCAACGTGGTTCTTTTCTTTAGCAGGATCTTTTGTACTGCTGGTTTCGACTTTCTCGTTTCGCTGTTCACAAAGCTTTTTCCTGTTGGTTTTCTTTTTTCGTGCGTTTTTAGTTTTCGCAGTGCCAATTACTTCTCGATTTTCAGATTGTGTGATTTGGGTAGTGGTTTGTTCATCTTCGGGTGGTTTCATTTCTGCTTTAGGATGTTCTGGAACATTACAGTACTCATTGCTTGGTTATATATCGAAATAGAGTAGTGCTAACCATTAGATTCGGTCGTTGTGCTGGGTCGTTCCAGTTTGTTTGCTAAAACTTCGGCATCGTCGCCTTTGCTAAAGTACCTTCTCAATTCTTTAGGCAAGCAGGGTGGTAATCCGTACAGGCACTGGTAATAGTAATTTGGAAAAGCAAATGGTACCGGTGGTGGATAAGGGTAGTAGTATCTAAAAAATTGGTGAACTAAACTAACGAACCGCGAGAGAAAGAATGAATTCAACATTTTGATTATGTTAAAATTTCGTAAATTTTTCATTGCTCTGCTTCTTATTGCGAGAGAGTTATAAATCATTATTCAATGGTAAAACTTAATGATGATAACTGTCAAGGATCCAGAGAGTGCCAGGTAGTCGAACTTATTTAGAATTAGAATTATTATGACTGAAGTTGAGGATACACTGGCTAATTGACTAAAGAAAAGTAAAGTAAGAAAAGAAAATGTAATATATGAGGACGAAAGACGAAATTATCTGCTGGATGACCATATTTGAGAGCAGTTTCGAAGGGGAAACAGGCATATTTATTTTCTGGATGAAACTTGGGGAAATGAAGTTTATACCTATGGTAAAAGTGTGCAGGATAAAAACTAAAAATTACACAAGGCAGCTTTTATGGAACTGTAGTAAAAGAACTCTTGGGAAAAAGTAAAAGATTAATGATTACTCACATTGACACCAAAAATCGGAAAAAATAACATCATTCATAGGCTTACTTTTAATACCAAACAATTTCAGAAAGATATGCTAAACTTCTTTGTAAGTTGTCAACAAAATTGTTTTAAAACGCTCTATAACGTTCCTTCGCTTTCCGCCATATTACTGTGAATTAAACCCCATAGAGTTGTATGGGCTTGTAGCAAGGCGTAACACCTGTTAAATTGGCATATTTATTTTCTGGATGAAACTTGGGAAATGAAGTTTATACCGTTGGTAGAACTGTGAAGGATAAAAATTTAAATTACATATTACTGTGAATTAAACCCCCTAGAGTTGTATGGGTTCAAGTAAATGGCCTTGTAGCAAGTCACTTGTTGAAATTCTTTTGCAAGGTTTGCAAAAATATGAGTTAAAAATAGAAAAAAGATGTGGGAAGTTGATAACATTGTAAATAACACAATATTTTTCTGGGCTCCAATGACTATAGTTAAAAATAATTTTTGAACGATTAGAGGTGTGTAGGCCTTCAGAACTGAAATACGGAAAAATGTTTTGTAGTTTAGATAAACGATATAACCTGTTGTTGTCATTGTAAATTGATATTTTATTACTCGCTCGCATTAAGAAACAGAGTTGAGAGCAAACTACGCCACTGATATTACCGTAAACAGGGACTCGCGTGGTGTTCGTATGGATAAAATAGGTCGTGGATATCGGCATCGTTGCTGTGAGGTATTCGAAACTGTTCTGTGGTCGACCTCAGCAAGTGTCTACACTGGGGCGGTACCCGAATAATCCTGTTCTGACCATCGATGTTATCACCGCCGAATCTGAGCATCACTTGGGCATTTGCAAAGGTTTTCGGTATGAACGGTTGAGGCGTTGTGGTCGTCGTCGAAACGTCGTCGCTGGGTTGGTCGAAATTCGACCTTTCCAGAAGCTCGAAGTGGTCGAAGTTGACTTTGGACATGTCTTTCGGGGTACGGAAGATCTGGGAGAGGTCGCATTCTTCACACCTGGCGAGCTGAGGGCAGTCAATAAATCTCTCTTGTCTTGCATATAATGTATGACATTCAAATATAAATAAATCACATGACAAATGATTTCGATTGCTAATCGGGATATCTCTACCGTAACCAAAAAAACTAAAATACTGATGTTTGAAAGTTACAAATTTTAAGTCTGCTATAATTTGCAACAAAAAATTTAATACGTCGGCCTCCTGATTGTTTCTCTATTCTGCGCCTTAATCATGTTTATAAGCGTTCTCATCCGAATACTTGTATTCAAGATTGATTTAAATTCCCGTAATGATATGGTTGTGGAAATTGAAAGCATTGTTGTTTTAAATACACTGAGCATGGCTCGATAAATATCTTAGTATTTACCTACACAAGGAAGAAAAGTCAACAACTATTTTTTAGCAAAAAAAGTAAAAATCGAAAAAAATTCTTTACTAACGTAAACCATATCAAAAACTATTCCATCAACGTTCATACCTTCATAATCCAAAATAGTCTATACAGAAAAGGCGGCAAATAATAAAATAACTTACATTTTGGCAGCATAGCATGCATGGGAACCAGAGTAGCTTTATTCGCAATTGCAGTTATTATCCAAAAAATTCGCGAATACAATAAAATTGTTTATATAGGCTTTAAAGACTACCACAAAGCGTTCGACAGAGATTCGAAACTAGTATATGAATTAAAGAACGTTCATTAAAAAAATATATTAGAACCAAACAGCCACTGTGAAAATAAATGAAATAGAAAAGCCCAGTCAATCAAGGGTAGCTGCCGATGAAGGAAACGCCTTGGAGCGTATATAAATATGTAAATATCTAGGAACCTACAAAAAGTTTAGACCTAAACCAACATCTTTCAAGATTCAAAACACTAGCTACAAAAATCTTTGCCTTAAATTGAGATTGAAGTGCTGCGTGTGTCACAATCATTGTATGGAGTGGAAACGTGAACTCTGTGGGAGCTCAGACCATCAAGAAACTAGAGTCTTGTGGCCCTACCGTAGAACCGCAAAAATACTATGGAGAGCTAGAACTACTAATGGTGAAGTATTGAGAAGAACAGATCAGGAAATTAAATGATTATTAACAATCAAACGAGAAAAACTTATCTTGTCCATATTCTGATAAATAATAAGTACGAACGAGGTGGCACTAAAAGAAGAAGAATTGAAATCTGATATCCGTTCGCGTAAGCATGATATGATAAAATAGTATACACGGATGCCATTCACCTAGCTGTTATTTTCTAATGAAAGGGCACAAAACGTATTGTATTGTTCTTTAAACAGTTATATTGTTTTGATCGCGATTATGAAGCTATTGGAGAGGGTTTTAGAGAAAGGTATCCAAAAAGAGTTAATAGGGCTCTGCATTGTAATTGTAATCTATAGGTATTAATTAATATATATTGGTTATTTTTGGTTTATCTAGATCGGTGGATCATATATGCAGCAAGTTTCATTTAATACACCAGTGACTGACTGTAGTGATCATCAGGACTGACGAACATCAAAATACCATGGTTAAAATCTACCGAAAGACTTCGGAGAGTAGAAAATATTTTTTTAAAACCTTCTGTTGGTATATATGCGGAACTTAGTATAGTCTAAAGTAACTCACCTTTAAGAAAACTGCCAGAAAACAACTTAAAATCACAATCGGGTAGTTTTCTTTCGACGTTATCATGCTGGTCCCCTTGGTGAGCCGCGCTAATGAATTCGACCCATATTTCGAAGCATATATAGGTGGGAAATGTTTAGAAATTCGCATGAGAATCGTGTCACTTCTCAAAATATTTAGATCCCATGAGTTCACTGACTTACTAGCGACATTGAATACCTATGTTGCGAATTTTGGTATGTCGAATTTGAAATTTCTCTGGATTTTTTAGAAGTAACAAATCTTCGAGATGTCTCTTGCGTCGGTTATGGATGAATCTAACTTAACTGTACAGTTTTAGTTAAGCTCTGAAGAACCCAACATCATGATTGGCGAAACGTCTGCAAGTTTGATTCATCAACAACCAACTCACTAAATAATACGAATAAAACACAGTATTTCTGTATTGGGTTAATATTGCTATAGCTTCTTGGTGCTAATTCAAATCGGAATTTGGAATGTGAAATATTGTGTTTTATTCTTTTATTCACTTAAACAGCTCTCGGCATTTGAGTAATTGCAGTCCATTTGTAGTTTTGCCGCAGGAAATAATTACTATATTATATTATTATTTTGGGTGGAAGTGGTTTTTCTACTCGACTCTACAATTAATACCCGATCAGGAGTACGGAAAATGACGTTTTAAAGCATTTAACGCTTCATTATTCACCTTCATTTCCGATACATGAGTCACTGATTTGGCAGCGTTCTTTTTTTTTCGGTATTTTGACGTTTGTCAGTTCTGACAATCTGACAACTGACAAATGGTCGTGAAAAAAGTATAGTGCGCAACAGATTTCTTTAGTCACCAGTTTATCGAACTTTTTGCAAAATGTGATATTTATTATCACTAGAAACGCTTTCGGTAAAATTGGCGCAAAGAAACTAGTAATCGAACCTATATAATTCATTGGCTATAAGATCCCACGCCCATGAACGAACGAACGAAAGGTCAATGTCGAACGGTCTATCCATTAGATTGTTGACACTGCACCGTTCCTCCGAAAAATAAACAAAATAAGTTAAACAATTCATGTAGTTTATTTGTCATGGTGTTACAAACATTTTAGAGATAGTCCAGTTCACATAGGCACAGATTACAAAAGCGCATTATATTCGTTTTGAGATTGCCCTCGCGTTTAATAACTTTACGTTATCCGTGAAATACTGTTTGTATCAAATTTTTGATAATTTAAGAACGCGAAAGCACTCTCTTCGCCGGATAAAGAAGAAAATTAATTAAAAATATTAGCCTATCTCTATTTTTTCCATGTTATCTGATCTGCGTCCTCATGCGTAACACCTAAAACAAATGGAAAAACTTCGATTAGCTCATCTCACCTCGTCAATCGCGTCAGATAATATGGAAAAAATAAAGAAAAGCGCGTCTTAAAATCAGACCTACAACAGACAAAATTAATCCACCTTCACCAACCCATTTCTTTATTTTTTCCATATATCTCGCCCCTCAACAGCCTCCATGAAAACGAACTCGTCCCCAATTTCGATAATTTTCCACGTTTATCCAAGCCGTCAGCCATTTTTACTTTTTCAACTTCTTTAAGGCCGCGTTCTTTTTCGCCGCTTTTTCTAGCATTTCTTCGTGCTTTTTCTTGATTTCTTCTACTATTTGCTTAATGTCTTTTTTCACGGCAACTTTTTTCAATCCCGCCACACTCTTCAGTTGACCGGTACTCAACAGCTTATTTAGATTATTCCCGGCCTCGTCGAACCTGTTTTGCAAATCGAACAGTATTTTTAGTTCCTTTTTGATCTTCTGCCGCCTCGATAGTTTCCTGTTCATGTCGTCTATGGTTTCCCTTTGTAGTTTTTCGGCGTTTTTCATCTCCCAAATGTTCTTGGCCGCGGATTCCAAGAGCTCTTCGTCGTCCGTGTGCAACAACTTCTTCAACTTATTCAGTATCTCGATGTCGGAGTGCACCTGATCGTCTCTGCTTTTGCTTAAGCTCTTAATCAAATCGTTCCTGGTCGTGCTTGGAGCAAACTTCAGCTCGGTAAGAAAATCGACGTACTTGATCTCCTTGTTCGTGCTGAAGGACGTCCGTAATTGTAGATGCTGCTCGAAGTCTTCCGTAACGCTCGCAATCAAACATTGAAGCTTCTGGAGCTTCACCAAACAAGCCACGAGTTTTCTCCGAACGAATTCGCAGTTGCAAGTTTTTAGCGATTCTGCTACCTTTCTTAATGTCGAGTCCTTCGCGGCTTGTAAGTCTCTAAACTTGCCGAGAAGTCTTATTTTCGCGTTGATGTCGTCGGCCATGTCGTCCATCAGCATGCGCTTCCAATCCTGCTCAATCGAAGTCTTCACGTGGTGCAGTTTAATCAGTTCGTCGCAGATTTCGTCATAATCTTCAACTCTAAGGTTCACTAAAATGTCAATCTCCTCTAAAAGGGAAGATATCCGTTCCCTCAGCACTTTTTGGGGCACCAGGTCGTTGTGGCTGCTGCCCACAACCTCCGACTGGCCTTTGGCTCTCTCTATGAGCATCGAGATCCTATCTTTGGTCTCCTCGGAAGACCCTGGTAGGGGGCTTTTGATCACCGGCTTATTCGTTTTCCCGAAAAGAGGCCGCTTCATGCCGTTGTACTCCATGAACGGCAACCCTTTGTTGTCGATTATGATTTTTGGTTTCACTTTCTTGATACGCATTTTCTTCCTTTTGGGTTTTGGTTCGTAGGGTTCTTCAAAACTGCCGTCTTCGAATCTATCGTTTTGCTCTCGGTGGTAGTAGTCGGCGCCATTTTCAGGCTCCGGACGAAACTGCGTTCGTAGATTTGTCAAATATTCCTCTAATTGGTGGTAGTATCGTTTCAGTTGTTCGAAATAATCGTAGTTATATTTATCCGTCAGATAGTCTTGCACTTGGGCCTGTACTTGGTCGTCGTCAACCACTTGGACGACGTAGCGTTTTTTTCTCACCCGATCTTGAGGAACTTTACGAAAATTTCGGGCCTCTTCTGAGAATTGAAAATCCCGAGAATATTCCGGGGCGTATCCGACTCCATCTGCCCGTTTGTTATCTTTGACGTTTCTTCTATACCTGGAATGAAAACTGGGTGGCACAATTTCCTTCACCACGTTACTGTTGACGTGGTCAAAGTCTCCTATCAAATCACTGGCCAAATTCAGGCAGTTAGTCTTGAAATCTTTGCCAAAGTCTCGTAAGTATTTCTTCGCGGTGTAAACCAGCTTTGGCAGAGACGTCACGACCGGGTTGACGCCCTTGTTGATGTCGTGGAAGTGCCTTAGGAACCTCATAGGTGCCGTGAATAGCAAATAAATGGGATTGTGCGGACCCACCAAGCCGCCGTGTTGCTGCTGTTTTTTCTCTTTGAACTCTTTAAGTTTCCGCTCCCTTTCTACCTTGCGATGGTAAGCTTCGAGTTCTTCCTTAACCGCCTTCTGTATCACGTTCTTGCCGATAACGGCGTCCGCTTGCGGGTAAGGTTTGAAACGAGGGTAGCTTGCTGGTCGTCTCATTATCTTGCTGCCGACAATCGGTTCATCTTCAAATTCTTCTTCAGATTCGTCTTCCATGCTGACGAAGTCTATTTCGTACCTGGCGGGCGTCGGGACCTCTTCGCTGCTGAGCACGATGGTTCTTTTCTTCCTCGAAATTGGTTCTTGGGGATTCAGCAGCTTTTTGACGAAATCCGTGGCTTGATCCTCTAGGGTGGTCGACGTCGATTCGCCGTTAAGTTTTTTGAGTTTTTTGAGGAGGACTTCGTCGGTATGGGAGCGAAACGTCGAAAGTGGCGACTTGCGTCGATAGTCGAGGTCTTCGAGGAGCGTTTTGTATTTGAAGTCGGCGTCGGGTTCCAAAATGGAGTACTTAAGGGTTTTTAAAGGATCCGTACCTCTCGATAAGGCAAACTTCGGACTTTCCGCTTGGTCAAAGAATGACAACTTGCCGGGGGTTTTGTATAAGTACGGTTTCGAAAAGGTTGCGGACGCTGCTTCTCTATTAACGGCATCAATTTTTCGTTGCAGTTTAAATTTCTCAATTAGAGGGAACGCGAAGGCCGCCTGGGGATAAGACGGTTTCAGATAACTCGGCCACGAAAATTTATAACCGCGTTTTGCAAAGTCTATTTGTCGTTTCGCTCTCGGGTGCCTGTCAGAGGACCCTACGTGTTCGTACCTGTGGTCATAGAGGGGCTCCAAGAGACATCCGTGTTTGGCAACCGGGGGAACGCCGTAGTTGCCGGATTGTTCTACGGCTTTTACCCATTCGAAGACTTCTGGAGTCAGTACCGGTTGAGGTTTCCAATCACAGCTGTTGCCTGAAAAAGACAACTGCATTACTCGGCCTTCACATTGACATCGTGTACGAACATGGCTTGACGTTTTTGCAAGTGCGGGTTGGCAGCACTACCCTATCCGCGCAGTACTTGAGATGTACGGGTACTGGTACTGGTTTCGGTGGCGGGGGGACCGGAGTTTGAATTTCCAAGGGATATTTGTGGCAGATCTGCTCGACTTTGCACGGACATGGAGCCTCGAAAGGTTGGCAAACCTAGAAGTAGGTGTTTTCGACTTTGCCACGTAATCGAGGGATGTAAAATAAAAACCTTGTATTTGTAAACCTGTCCGGGAGGCGGTGGAGGCGGACTTGGCACTACCGGAGTCTGCACTTCGTATTCGTACGACGATCCGCATATTTGACGCGAAGGGGTCGGGAATATGAACTTCAGGGGACAACATCCGCAAGGTCCGGGCACGTCAACAGAAGTTAAGTGTTTCGAGCACTGAAACGGAAACTATAAAAATTGCACGTCGATAACCGTGAGGTACTTACTTTGAGGCAGCCGCAGTTGGCGCTTGCGCAGATCAAGCAGCAAAGCAGCACTAGGATTATAGCTTTCATGCTTTTCGAGAATTCTACGCTCGTAGAATGACCGTCCCATTCGTTTTAACTTATATAGTTATACCGTGTTTTTATTTCAATTTCCTTGTTTATGGCAGTCTTCGCGTTTGAAGCGTATTTTTAATAAACAATGGAACGCGACGAGTCGAAATTCTTAACCGGAGGTTAAGGCCGGTTAAGGTCGCCACTCGAGGAGGTTGTTGTCCAGCGTTTGACGCGTTTTCGTTAGCGGTTTGAAAGTTTGGTATTCGCATCCTACGATTTCTTTCAGAATATACACAAACGTTTCCACAATAATTTTGTATATCAGGATCGAATATTTTGGGAGCGCTCAAAAATAACCATTTCTTGACTCGAGTGGATGTACCGTGCGTTCAATTTGGCTTGATAATATTAGAATTGGCTGTAACTTTTTTGTTTTTAGAGATATCAACGTAAACAGAAAAACAAAATGTAGGGTTAGTAAAATAAGTAGTTAGTTAGTTAGAACACGGAACATCCTGTATATTATATATGTGTTTAATAGAATATCTTATTCCGATTACAATGATGTAACACACTTTATATTTTAGTCCAGTCGTTTTCGACAAATCGGCAAAAATAGGAAATTTTTATATGATTTCAAAAAGTGCCCTGACTGACAAATAAAAATATGTTTGTTTGACATATTAGTAAACAACGTTGATGGTTGAATTATTGTCCAAGTCATTATTGTTAAAATGGTTTTTCGCGAATTTAGCATCCGTCGAAGAAGTGACATGTTTCAAGTATACTTTCTGAATAATAAAAGTGCAACCTCAACTCGTCGTCAGTATATTAGACTTCAAAGCGCCGTTCCTTTAAAACATATTTCCAAGGCTGGCAAGGAAATTTGCCGAAAACGGTTAAACGCTAAAAACGTATACCGGAATCATATTGTTTTAAATAAAGAAAATATGAAAAATATGAAGAGACAAATATTTCTGGAGGATCCACTCAGTTTTGGAAGAATATAAACAGAATGCATTTAAATTTCAAAAAACTCAAAAACTAAGTGTAGAAGGAGGATGCAAATAATTTTTTGAAAAAACATTTTATGGGCCGATGAAAGTTCGTTCACTATAATAAAGGGTTGTAATAGACAAAATAGGCGATATCGGTCTTTAAATAATCCTAGCGAAATACACGAAATAAAAAGCCAGGGGTGCCAATCAATTACTGCATGGTGTGGTGTCATAGATGGACAACAAATAGACCAATATATAGAAGATTTATCCCTGTTGTGTAAGTTAAAAATTTTCTTAACATGGAATATCCCAGTGGTTGTATAGGGAACGGCGGAACTATGATTTGGCCAGCCAACAGCCCTAACTGAACATTAATGGAGTTCTTTTGGGGACTACTATATATTGTATAAGAAAATGGTGGTCACATACATACAGCAATATTTAGAATAGCTAAAGATTTTTTTACTTTTTTGTCATTTTTAGTGTTTTTGTTCTACTTTAATTTGGAAATAATTATTGTTTTGCAGTAAACTTTTATATTTAACTGATACATCATAAATGGATAAAGCCTATACACGTCTACAATAATTCCAAGTATTAAAATATATGAATATTTTTACACAGTCGTTGTATTGATGCTTTAAATAAATTGTGCTCGACACCACAAGAAATGCAACTCAAAGTTAGGGCGGAGGATGTGAGACAAATTATTAATTAGATCCGCTCAGTAAAAGGTTTGGTACCAACACGGATAATATATATGAGCCTTGCATTTGGTATTTTTTCTATGTTCACTTTTTAATTGCCCACGTATGAGGCTCCGAAACAGTGGTTGTAAATTAAAAGATCAAATTGTTTTAGAATATGTACGACTTTGACAACTCAAGTTATACTCTAAATCCCAGCACATTTTCAGATCGTGGATCACAAAAAACAGTTATTAGGCATTGGGTCTTGACAATAAAATGATAGGCAAGACCATTGAAACATGTTATTGTCTAAATAATAAAATCGAGCCACTGTACGATCCTGTAGTGAAAGCGCATTGCTCAAGAACGATGACGACGACTTCTATCCGAAGCAAAACTTGCTTTTTTAAAATAATTTTTCATGTTACTACCTTCCCTAACTTCCTAACGCATTAGCAAATGTAACAAATTTAAAAGAGCGATCATGTTAATTATATTATCAACATACGAATAAGGTTACGACATGATATTTACTCGAATATCGCAAACAAAAATATATATTTTAAACGTCAAGTCGAATCTAGTTGTCAGTTCTCAGATAGGTTTTAAATTAGTATTCTAGAATGGAAAATCAGAGAGGAAATCAGTCAGTCGCCATGTCAGCATGCTTATTTATTTTGTTTATAATAATAATAAAAATATATTTATTATCCCACATATATAGAATACAATCGGTGTATTATGGATTTCGTCAAGTAGGTCAATATAGATCATGCAAATGGGGCAGAAAATTACATTAAAACTTTATATAATAAAAATATATGACAGAGCACAACAATACAGTGATGACAAACATTAATAGGTAAAATATTCGTTTAAATTATAAAAACAGTTTTCTAGGAGGAAAAAGTTTAGTTTGCTGCTTTTTAGCTCTGGAGACGGTCTATTGTAAAATATGTTTTTGAAAATTCTAGTCCATTTTTTTTATGAAGAAACAGTCTTTGTTTGGTGTATTATAGTCCGTTATTTTGAAAGATATTTTTATTTTTATATACCCACAAACAAACTTCTAATATGTATATACACGCTAAAGGCAGTATTTTAAACTCCCGGAAGAGGGGCCTGTACGAACTATCCGGCGACACTCCCGCAATATACCTTAGGACCTTTTTTTGGGATTTGAAAACAGATGTCGCATGACTTGCATTTCCCCATAAGGGAATGCCATAGAGTAATCTCGAATAGATGTGAGCATAGTAGAAATTTATCATGCACTTTCCAGTCAAAACAGTTTTTAATTTTTTTATTAGGAAACAATCACTATGCAGCTTTGAAGAAAGTATTTGGCATTGTGTTTCGTCGAGCTCTAGTACTAAAAATTAAGCTTGCTTTTTTATTTCAACGGCCTCGCCGCCCTACCAGACATTCACACATCTTTTTTGTTTTGTGGGCATTTGAGTATCAGTACATTTGTTTCTTGGACATTCACAAAGAGTTCGTTGGTGTTAAACCAGCTACTTAGCAGTACAAGTGCTGAATTAATTCTGTCTTGAAGAGTTTGATAACAGTCGTCAGCGAACTCCGATAGACCTAAACTAGATAGGCGAGCAGAAAGTTTACTGTAAAAAGGGCCAAGCACTGTACCTTGCGGTACCACAGGAAAGTGGAGTAAAAAACGTCAAATTTTTTATCAATATCACCGGACGCGCTGCAGACTCCCATCCAGGGTTCGTTAAATCTGAAGTAAAAACTCTAATACTGTTTTTGTTAAAATTTCTGCCTAGATACGAGGGCGCTTCTGATAGTGTAGTGGTGAATTACACGGTATCGTGGTCTGGAACTGTATTTAGTAATACTTTCGCTATTATATTATTCCAGTAATTTGTAAACATTAAATCAAGAATAGATGAACAACCATTCTGGTTTCTTGTTGGATCTTTTACGTTATTGCGAAAATTATAAGATTGCATTAAATCGAAAAAGTTACTTTTTCTGATAAAGACATAGTATGGGTGTTAAAGTCTCCGTTTAAAATTATATAACCATTTGGTTTAAAAATTTTATTCAATATGTCTTCCAAGTTTTTTTGAATAACATCCACATTACCATTTGGTGAAACTTCGTGGTGAAAGTTGTCATTATAAATGACTGCAAGTTTAGATTCCTTACGCCATGTCTCAGTCAAACATATGAAATTTGGTGCATGGCAGGCGTAGTCAATGATGAATTGGTCGGCTTTATTTTGATCCATACGTTGTACATATTTATTTCAAAACATATCCGAAAAACTTAAGAGGGTGATTCCTTGTTTAAAATAAAGAGTAGTAGGTCATTTAGAGACTTCTATCGCCTGCAATTTAATAATGAATAAGAGAAATAAAAAATCAAATCTAAAGTAATGCATAACTTTGTAACTTCTTAACTCGTTTCTTATTATTGCTTTTGACATTGCTCAACAAATCAATTTTTTTTTATCTAATCATTTAATTGTTCAATAATATGAGTTTTATTTGCATAAGCGTATAATAATCGGAGACTCATTATCACGAAGCACGAAGCACGAGCCTTCGAAAAAAGGAGTTTTGATACCTGCCTACAACATTAGAAGTTATTAAACTAACCAGAACTAACCAGAGACAAAATACCGCGAAAATTGCATCAGAATTAAATACTGACGTATCGACATATATGGAGTTCAAGCTCTTTTACCAGAGCACCATTACTAGTAGTACCAGTGATCCGATCGACTTCGAATAAAAAGGAAATAAGTTTAGTTTCAGGAAATTAGAAATCATTCAGGAATCTGCTAAAAAACCTCGCGCCTCTACAATAACCTTTATGAGGCAAGTCAGTTTAATGGTCTTACGGCTAAGGATGTCGAACAAGTCTTCTATTAGCTCCAATAAAATTTAAGCAACAGATAAAACTTTTATTTTAAACTTCGTTTGTAAGCGAGCACACAATACAATTCAATACCAATGGAAAAACGCTTTTACGCAATATCAAAATTTAAATCAATGAAAAGTGATCGAAATGTTACTCTCTAATCGAGTTGAGGAAGAGGTATGTTATTAAAGAGCACAATTTTAAAATATCTTCGATGCGCTCGCTCGAAACTAAACCATATCACAGAGGTATCACGGGCAGAGCTTCTCCAGCACCACGCTGTGCTTTTGGGATCCTGAGCTGTGGCTCGATGAGGAATAGTAACTCTTGACGCCGCATCCACATGGTGGTGGTGGTGGAGGAGGAACGTTGATGTACCTAACCGGGACTTCCGCCGACTCGCAAGAGGTCTGGTCTAACACCCTCTCCCTGTAAATGTGATCGAACTTCGGCACCTTCTTGTACACCACGGTTCCAGGTTGGAATCCGTCGTCGCAAGGGGTGGTGCAACTCGCTGGCGATGTAGTTTCGACTACTTGCTGGCATGCTGGCACATTCACGAATTCGGTCTTCACCGCTGCAACCGATCAATCGGAATTAGTACGTCGTAAAGCATCGCACTTTGCGCGATAACCTACCTTTAGCTGGACGGTAGCCAAGCTCCACGTAGCTGGGCCTATTGGGGCCGTGGACGACCTCGCTAACTTCCTCTTCTTCCAAATTGAGAAGTTCCTCTTCGGCTTCTTCCTCTAGATTGCACGTCGCGCTCTTCGCTTTAACCGGTTTGAGTTCTACCACTTGCCCGTTCAAGCTGTAGAGGTTCGCCTCGTGGACTTCGTCTTGGACAGCTTTCTCGCAACTTTTGATAGCCTCGATGGGCAGCTTTCTGAATCCGTATTGGAGCCTATCTTCGGCGACCGTGTCGAAACTATGCGCGTTCTTGTATGCCAACGCTACAGATATCGCGTCAGCTGGAATTTTCGATTCTACTCTTCCCTTGTAGTCGCCATCGTACACTTTATGTTCCAAGTTATGGATGGTGGTGCATCCTGGGTGGTGAACCGGGTTGGGCTGAAAAGTGCGTCGTTAGCGATCCCCTGAGGGAGTCTACGGACTAAAACTCACGTGGTGTGGCTGGTAGATGACGCTATCGGCATAACCTCCACAGCAACCAGACGATACGACTTTGGACGCGGCGTAGTTGTTGCAGCACTTCTGGACTGCGCACTGCCGAAGTACCGGACGTGGTACTATGGCCGGCTTGACGATGACCTGTTTCCTGAAAATCGATTTTTGCATTTCTCTTAGAACATAAGGTTGTATAAAGGCTCGGTACTAACTTGTAACACGGCCCACCGGATGGGGCAAGCGGTACCAGATTGGCGGGTTTGGGCAATGGTTTGGGCCTTATAACCAAAGGTAATGTTTTGGGATGAGGTTTCGAATGGCAAGGGTCATACCCGTCGCCGAAGAAACCCGGGCCGCCATATACGTAGCTGTGAGATATCACCTAGAATGAAACAGAACGTTAGGTTAGTGCGTACTAGATGGAGAAGACGAAGACTTACGTCCTGGGCCAGGAGGATCGCTCCCAAAATAACCGCTGCTCCTTTCACTATCATGGTTTTGGTTCACCAAGTGAATTAATGAAGTGAATCGTTCAGATGCTTTCGCTTTTTATAGCGCAAAGTATTCTGTTTGGATGTTTTCGGCGCACCAAGGTTGTGGATTTTACCGATGGGGTTTTGTTTGGGAAACGTGATGAAGTTTTGGGTTCAACGATCGGTTTGTTGTGGACGCGTCGAATGTTGGCGGATCGTAAGTTTGCGTAGTTATTTCCGGTTCCACGAGAATATTTTTTCTAATTACAAATAATTATAGTTATATGTATCCAGCGATACAAAAACTTTTTAAATGAGCTATAACTCGTCCTCTAGCTTGCGTTTAGAACCCGCCGCCTACGCTTCAAGACTTGAATGTTGATTCAGCACGATGCCGCACCTCCTCACTTTGGACGACAAGTAACAAAAATTCTTAATAAAATATAAATAAATAAAAAATAATAAAATAAAAAATAAAGGGGTTTCTTTTAAATGGACTTTTGAATGATTGTAGCTTAGTTAGAATACCGTTAGAATAAGTCATAGAATAGAGAGTATTCTATAACATAGAAGAAGAAGAAAAGTAACAAAAATTCTTAAGTAAAATTATACAAACTGGTATATTGGAAGAGGTTCAGCAGTTCCTTGGCCAGCAAGCTCGCCTGACCTTAATTCCTTTAGTTTATTCAGAAAGTATTGAGAACAGTATTGGTAGATAGAATTTTGGATGCCGCAGAAAATATTCGTGTTGATACTGAGATTGTTAGCAGTTAAAGAGCTAGACTAAGTATACAGCAACTGGGTGGACATTTTGAACAACTAATCCAATAAAATATAAATAAATAAAAAATAATAAAATAAAAAATAAAGGGGTTTCTTTTAAATGGACTTTCAAATGATTGTAGCTTAGTTAGAATACCGTTAGAATAAGTCATAGAATAGAGAGTATTCTATAACATAGAAGAAGAAGAAGATGTCACCGAGGTAACGTGCATATGCGTAGAAATTATAATTTTGAATTTAATGGTATATTACGCAACAAATTCTGTAAACGTCACTTTAGTCACTAGTTTGATTTGACCCAACAGAGCTCAGCGGAGTATTTATTAACTACTGCTTGAAGAAGTTCATCAACGTGTTGTATAATATACTTTTTTTACTACTAACAGTTTTTTCAATGATCGACGTGTCACTTGACTTTCAGAATGGACAGAGTTCAAAATACCACGTTTGCTCAATTCTACCGAAATCATCCGATCGCTCCCAAACCGATGACTAAAGTATCGGAGTGAATCGGTGTGACTCTGGATATAATTTTAATTTAACTTAATTTTACAAAATTTCCAATAACTTCAAAGCTGAGAATCACGTTAAATTCAAAATTAGTGTACTGTTTTTGAAGGTCGAAAAGACGAATTTGGCCTCAGTTTGAATCTATTTCATAGATGGCGCACTGGAACCTGTGAGGGCCTGTACTTTAAGTATATGTGCTTGGTCAATATCAATATCTCAAGCCAAGCGAGATATTTGTTATCAAATAGGAAAACATCGCGATAGGAGGCGAAAAGTTTATTCAGATCGTTTAGATGACAACGAATCGTCTCAAACAATAAAAACATAAACATAACATGAAAAAAATCGCCAGATTCGCGAATACGACGATGAAAACGACGGTTAAGTAGAACGTGGTGCGAACTGCCATAAAAACGACTGCCTTTTTATTTGAGAACGTGAGGAATTTCGTCCACCAAAGGCACCTTGTCTCTGTAGCTCGGCAGTTCATCCAGAATCCTAGCGACTTGTTCTCCGATTTCGCGTCTCTTGTCGCTCGCCTTCTCTATCCTGCTCAGGGTTATCTTTGAGGATATGTAGCCAGTGTTGACGAGCTTGTTTATGAAAAGTAAAAGCGCGTCTTCTGTCGGTTTCAGTCTCCTGGCAAAGTCGGGACTGAAAAGACGAAATGTTTTGCACTCCTTGTCTCATCTCATCCACCCGCTGTTTATTGGCAAATCAATGTGTAGTTGTAATTTACTTTACAGCCATCACGAATAAGAGAATAAGTTGTAATAGAAATAGTAATAGACAGTATATATATAATGTTTTGTGGTTGTCGTTACAAATAGAGTTTATTATTGTTTATACATTCAAATGATCTTTGCATGACGAGTTGTGAATTACCGTCATTAGTATGAATAGCAGCAATTATAAAAATTGATGATATTCGCATTCAGGCATCTTTACTAGTTAGTACCGATTGTCGAAAAAGATTGTATTTCTTAAACAAAAGTTGATAATATTGAAAAAAAGAACAATTCTCTCGATTTTCGATACCTTTGGATAATATCTTAGACTCGCAATACATATTTACTTAGGTGCTTTATTATTGTCAAATACTGCTTGCTTATATTATCCTCTTTTGAAGTTCGAAATGAGTTTTTATGTTTTTTTCAAAAGGAAATTGACGAACTTGAAATTCAGTCTCCAGCATCACGAATAAGAGAATAAGTTGTAATAGAAATAGTAACAGACAGTACATATATAATGTTTTGTGGTTGTCGTTACAAATAGAGTTTATTATTGTTTATACATTCAAATGATCTTTGCATGACGAGTTGTGAATTACCGTCATTAGTATGAATAGCAGCAATTATAAAAATTGATGATATTCGCATTCAGGCATCTTTACTAGCTAGTACCGATTATCGAAAAAGATTGCATTTCTTAAACAAAAGTTGATAATATTGAAAAAAAAAACAATTCTCTCGATTTTAGATACCTTTGAATAATATCTTAGACTCGCAATACTTATTTACTTAGGTGCTTTATTATTGTCAAATACTGCTTGCTCTTTTGAAGTTCGAAATAAGTTTTTATGTTTTTTTCAAAAGAAAATTGACGAACTAGAAATTCATTCTCCATGAAGGCAAGGTAATTAGAGGTGGGGTTATGTTGAATATGTTACAATATCAAACAATACCATAGCAAGTTTTTTGTATGTCCAAAAAGGGTCTCTGTTTTAATTTATCGACTTGGAACCTTTTTTTGTATTTGAGTAAGGATTACAATGAAATTATTTGTATTATCTGTGGAATATATAAACTATATAGCATCTTCTATTTTCTTTTGAGATTGTTAATTGCGGAGAGGCGAAAAAGTTGTTCTTTACTACTAAACAAAATCACAAAACTATATAGCACTTAGGCTGTGTTATTATTATTTTTTAATGATAAAAAATCAAATTTTCGGCGTTATTTAAGGTCAGCGTGTAAAAGCACTATGCTCTTGAGTCAAAAAGTTATACGCCTAACCGAAGATAGTTTTGATTTGAAGTGACATTTTCAAAAGAAATCAAAGTAAATACTTTTGTAAAATTTGCTTATATGTATATTATGTATATAACATTTTGCACCTTTGGGTTAAAATTGCGATTCTCGGTAATCATTTCCTGCATATTTTTCCATAAATCCTGGCATAAATCAAAATAATGAACCCTGAATGAATCCTAGAATCAGGTACACATTTATAGACTAAAAACAAATATTTTATAGATTTTTGTTAAGATAATATTGGCGGCCTTGGATTAAATACAATTTACTTTGGGTCAAGAGATCCTTTCATCTGTGGAGACATAACCAAACTTTTTAAAAATTTTATAAAAAAATAAATCGACATTGTTTAAAAATGCCTCCTGTACACGAACATGCCGTGTATCTTTCATTAAGTAAATTTGAAAGTGGGAGGATACGATAGGAACAACTGGGATGTTCTTCCGGAAAATTGGAAAATGGTGGGCCGTTTATTTTAGGACACTACCTTATCTCAGAAACTATAGCGGATTGACCCAAAGGTTAAACACAAAAGTTAATTGGGGTATTTCAAACCTTCGATTTATTTTAATGTTGTATATACAGGGTGTTTCATTTTTAGTGGGTGAGTATCAACTTTCTTATTTTAAATGGAATACCTGGTATATTACTTCATTTTTGATTTCTATACAAAATTCTAGACATATTTTGTGTATAATGCCCTATACCTAAGTCTAACCGTTTCTGATATTTTTAATTTTTAATGCGAGCAATGACGTTAATGACTTAAAACATATGCCAATTTCTTCAAACTCTTGACTGGAACCTTCGGCACTACACTAACACACAATAACGCGTTTTACCACAAACAGAAACTCAATTTTAAGTACTCGACGCGCGTTTCGCCAACCAAGTTGGCATATTCAGTTTTAATCTTCTCCTGAAGATGCATAAAAATATAGAATTTTCCATAGTGTTCCATTTAAAATGAGAAAGTTGAGACTCGAGAATCGCCCATAAAAAATGAAACACAATATATATACAACATTAAAATCAATTAAAGGTTTATAATACCCCAATTAACTTTCGTATTTAACTTTACAAGATAAATAGCGCACCCTGTAAATGTCGCAAAGGCGCTGGGGATTTAAGAAAAATCGATGATAATGATGACAGAAACAGCAGGAATCACTTTCAGCGCAACCTAAAACATATATCTGTGCATACATTTTCCCAAAATTGAAATAACTTTGTTTATTATAAAACTATGACATTGAAGTGGATTATTAAAAGCTGTTTCTCTTCTGGTCCTGCGAGTTGTTATCTTAGGCATTTATTCCTGTAGAGCACATTCTATATTGAAATTACCTCAAACTCGAAGCCTCATCAGTGTCGTTTTCGAAGGAGTCCAGCGATGCTGCCTCTTTGATTAAATTCGCCAGCACCTAAAGCAACAAAATTTGGCGATATATTTTTTTTAATTTTGTATTTTGAAATTGATTGTAACAAAATACCAACACTACAGGTTTCAATATTTACATCCAGAGTCTGCCAAATGTAGACAAACATAGCAACAACAAACATATTAAAAAAAATCGTCATGCACACAAGATAGAAGAATTTTAAGAAGACATACTGGGTATTTCAGAAAACCACTAGATAACTCCTAGGGTTATTAGAATAATAACAAACAAGTTCATTTTTCTTAATAGACGTGTCGGAAAATTCAGAAGTCTGTAAAACGGACCATAAACCAATTTTTCAAAATTGTTATTAAATTATAAAGTTTCTGCTGACAAAATTTCAGTTCAAAAGAATTTACAATGTTACTACTTCGTAGTTGTTTCAGAACCGATCATTCATTATATAAAATTATAAAAGGTTACGACAAAAACAATACAAAACAATAATGTTACTATAATAATAGTCTTACAGGACGTCTCACAGTACACGATTTGTTTATTAAACTCCCGGTGAAATGTTCGTGTATACCAGATCAATCATCGATGTTAACGAAGGGCAGTCGATTGTAGAGTTAATCAGTAAAGTTAATAAGTCTCGGCAGAAGTTAGAATTGCGGAATTCCCGATTTAAAAAAAAAAACGTGTAGTTCATGTATATGACAGTATTCTAGATGTGATCTGACATAGTAAAAATATAGTATTTTTATGGGATTAATATTTGAGGAGTCCATTATACTGCGCCTGACAAACCCCAACATGCGAAGGGCGCTATTGATTGGACTGAAAAATCTAAGTTCCATCCAGGTCTTCCTGGAGTGCTAGACAGTCATTTTGAGTGGTTATTCTTGAGAACAGTTTCAGATCGTCTCCAAAAAGAAATAAACGACTATGCTTAAAACATACTGTAATGAGAGAAGACGGTAAATTGTTTAAATGCATCATCTCGGACCTTCCAGTCAAGTAATTTTCTATCCAGGAAACACCCATGATCTCGTGTTTCTTAATCAACAGCCCATGGTGCACTCTGCACTTTTTCAAACGCCTTGGCGTGCATCTCCCCCCCCCTCCCCCCTTTGATGTTTAGTTTATGCTTATTTGAAAGGCAATTCATATTTGAGAATTATATAGTTGTTCTGCTTATCATAATGGAAACCATAAAAGGTACCTAATATTAATATGGGAATAACAATATGTTTTTAATCCAGACTTATTTATACATATACAGTGAGTTCCACTAAAGGACTGTACACCCCTAAAAAATCTTTGTTTATGGATCGATTTTGATAATTTCTTTCTTTATAAGTTGCACTAAACCCTGTCCTAAGTGTCTGAGATCGACATTTCGTCTTTTCAGTACGCCTATCAACTTCATGTTATTAAATATGGTCATGTATTCTTTTTCATCTATTAGAATAGTTTCTACATTCTAAAATCGAAAATCTTTGAACAGTTCGGGTTTATTCAAATGTCTCAGACTTTCGTTAGTCATTTAAGAGAATTTGTTTGTTTTTACATTATACCTTTGGAATATTTGGATTTATTAATGCTGTTCTTCGAAGAATGATCAAAAGTGAGTCACAAACATTTTACAGCAGTAATGCTTCAGCGAGCCGCCCGCTATATTTCGAGCACCCTGTATTAGAACTTCGTGGAAATTAGTACAGTAAAATTTTGAGTAGTCGTGAATAAGAACAAGAATTAAAGGCATTTTTGGGAGAGCTATTCAACAAAATCAAACCGCAATCATCAATATAAACAAGGATGTACAGCATTAACCATGGCGCTCCTGTATAAGATTTCGTCACAATTCATTCTTTAAAGAATATTGTTAAAAATATTACTTTTCTCTTCTTTCTATTTTGTTAAATAGTCTCAATTAGAAATGACTTTAGGTTGAAGCATTAAACCAAACAAGGTTTTAGAGCATTTTGAGAGACCTATCCAACAAAAAAAAAAACAAAATCGAATCATAATTTTAAAAGGACGTACAGTGCGTTAGTGGGACACAGCGTATGTTCGTTTTATGGTACATTGCTGCACTTTTATTTTATTTTTCGTAATGATTAAATCCATATGGTTTAGTATTCTTGATCTAAGTATTGGAAACACTTAATGAAACTGCTAAATTTTGACAAAAATGAATTAACAAATAACGAGTTAAATTAATACTCAAAAACTTGATAATATATTATCTTTTTGAAGACAGTTTTAACCCTAAAAATGACAAAGCACTTTTTTTTTTTGAAATTGAAATTACCGTGTTCAGTTACGCCCAAAATTAAACCTGGATTATCATAATTCTCAAAAAAATTAAAAATCTCATTAAAACAAGTTTGGGAAGCTACAATCATTACATCGTGTCAACAATAACTTCATGACACATATTTGTGGTCTAAATTTCGTGTATGTATTTCAAATCGTTTTTGAAATAATAAAAAAAACATTTTTAATTATTCGTTTTTTCAGAAGTGACCATTTTCGCCATTTTAACAATTTTTTCAATGTTATCCTAAAGTAAGCGGTACGTATTTTGAAACATTCTGTTTAGTTGAAAATTATAAAATTAAAAAAAAAACTGCATGTCGGGAAGTCGCATGTCGGAAGTTCATTTCCTCCTCATTGTTTTTCCAAAAGTTATTGTCATAAAAGACAGTATAAAAATTTAAATAATTTTGTTATAGATTTTTCCTTTCTTGGAGCCCTTTTTATTAATATACTTAAAATGATGACATCATGAAACCTTTAAAAAATATTTTATTTCATTAACTATTAACCTTTAAATGAAAAATTATGATTAATTATGATTATGTTGCTTAAACAATATTTTTTAAATAATTTTAAACTACTGCTAGTTTCAATTTAGTGTTTTGCATCATATTATTTTTTAAATTTTTTCTTGCCCTTTGCTTAAAAATTGTTTATAATCAAATATAATAATTTACCATTAAAAAAAAATACAATAGTGTTAACATAAGGAAATATTGATTTTAAAAAAATCTTAATAACAATATCTTATTGTTTATAATCGCTTCTTTATATTTTTATTATTTAAATAAATTTTTAAGGAACTTTTTTTTTAATTCACTATTTGCATTTCTAAATATAATTAGGGAAAAAAAATATCAACAATTTATTCATTTAACAATTTGTTATAAACATTTTTTTATTATTATTTTTTATTATTAATATTTAATTGCATAAAAAAATTAATTTAAAGTTTCCGGTCATTACAGTGGCGGCGCGCGCATGCCGAAACTGCTGCGCGGAAGCCGATATTCAACGTTAAATAAAAATGATTAATATTGGTCCTATAATTTCGGGAGTCGGGAACTTCCTTACTGAAATTTCTTGCTCTTTCAGAACTTTTTGTAATATTTGAGCTATCACTTACAGCTTTCGAGGTTTTGTCAAAAAGCTGAACGCCTATTTTTTACTTCAGTTTTTGGTTAACAAAAATTGTAGTTTTCATCGTCGGAAAAAATCCAAAAAAGTCTTTTTCTATATGATATTCCCCATCGAATGAACCATCAACCATATTTTTAGGAGACGGGCAAACTATTTTTCGCACGAAATGAACTTCTCGACTAGTCTAACCAAAACGTTCAAAATGAAATGGCGATTTTCTTTTGAAATTGTTTAAAGTGTAGAGAATGAAAAAATTCCGCCAGATTCGAGACGCAAATTAGGCACAAAGTAAACAATTATTGCCTAAGGAGTATGCCGTATAATTCAGCAATTGCAAACGTCCTCGGAAACTCATTAAACGGCCGCTAAGTATACACGAGCAGACTCGGAATTAAACATTCCAATTTGCTTGTTGTTGCGCGGATATTTCGATGTATCTTTTGTCTCATCTGCGACGACTTACCGAAACGTTCGCGATTACCAGGACGAGAATACCGAATCGTTTGATCATTTTCTTAACGTGTACCTTGAGCGGTTTTCGAACAAACCAATTGGCATCGCAATCGAAGAACTACTGCTATAATTGGGTCGTGAAAATGCTTAGAGCGTTGCTTTCGAAGAAAATTATTTTTGTTTGGTGCAATAAACAACGCGAAAGGACAACAAATTCGTTAATGCATTTTCGATGTTTCGATACAATTAAATAATTATATATGGAATCCAAAATACGTTATCTGGAAGGTACAAGGGTTAAAATGGGATTGATTTTGACGCAAATTGGACACTCGCTCATGGGCAGTTTAATCGTTGCGTGCCCTTGTTGTTTTCCTATACACCCTGTATAAAATATAAACTTTTGAATAATGACACCTCATTAAGGGAAAAAAGGTTTTGTATTTTCGATGTTATAGAAATGAAAGGGTTTTCAATTCAAAAACTTCTTGTGAATTTTCTAGTTAACTCGGTATATATAAGAAACAGGTTTCAGTAACTAGGGAGTTTTAATTTTATTTAAGTTCTGTTAAGAAGATATTTGATTTCAAATTAACCTTACAAATCGCTTTTTGTTCAAAATATTTTTAAATGGCTCAGTAAATTTATTTATTTATTTGTCAAGCTATATAGTATTATAAACAATTGATAATTAGTGACAAAAAGGATTGCACCGCATTTATATAACATTGCATGCATTGCATATCCATTTATTTAACAACCGATCAACCTATATAAGAAATAAACAATATTTCTAAGTTTTAGTTATTGTATGACTCCAAAAATTAAGTAAAACTGTGAAAACTTTGAAATCATCTGTACGATATTTCTCCACCTTTTTTTTATAGGAATGAGTGACTAAAAATATTAATTTTAAACGAGAGGATAATTTTCAATAATTAATAATTATTAAGTATCCAATTAAATATCGCCCACTAAACAAAAGTAGGCTTTGATTTTGTCGTCAAAGCCATGTTTGATGTTAGACGACCGTCGAATTAAAGTGAGAGAGATAGCAGAGGTTATGAAAATGTCCGAAGCAGGTGTTTGTCACATTTTAGATTAAGATTTGGGCATGAGAAAGCTATCCACGCTTTTACTGTAGATGAGACTTGGATACACCATCATATGCCCGAATCAAAAATGCTGTCAAAACAGTGGATATCGAAGAGAGAACCGAAAAACAAAAACAGTTTTTTCGGCTGGGAAAGTGATGGCGACTGCTCGATTACCTTGGAAAAGGAAAAACCATTACAGGAGCATAGTACATTACTCGACTAGTTGACAACAGAAATTGCCGAAAAACGGCCAAATTTGCAAAAAAAATCCTGTTTCATCAAGACAGCGCGGTGTTTCTTACCCCAGCATTTGCCATGGGGAAAATCAACGAGTCACGCTTTGAATTACTTTACCATCCTCCTAAGTGACTTCTTTTTGTTCTGTCATCTGAAAACTGCCCTCGGAGGACAAAGATTTTCGTCAAATCAGGAGGCAATCACCTTCTTGAACAATTATTTTGCGGAGAAAAACGTTGGCTACTATTTGGACGGGTTAAAGAGATGTGAACATCTCTGGAAGAAGTGTATAGAGTTACATGCAGAAAAATAAAAAAAAAGTAGAAGAAATGTCTTGTATTGCATTGTCGGTCCGGTCGGAAACTGTAAGGGACCCTCGTATGTTTTAGTGAAGATCTCTATACCAAGAAAAGAGCTGTAGTGCGAAACTGAGCACTTGATTAAGAAAGTTTCGGCTTGATTAATCTTCAGAATCCTTTTCAACTGTTTTTCAGTTGCACATTAATTTATTATTTAGAAACATAAACACTAAATAGATGTGCTTACAAAGTATTTCAGCGCTACTAATTCCATTGTGTTATTTTATAGTCAAATCAGTTTTTCCTACTTGGTTAGTTTGAGTTTTTTACAATTTCTATTCAACATTATTTTCTAAAACCTGTAGTTCTGGCTGCAGGTTATCCCAAGTTCATATTCAAATCTGCTTACAATTTTTGCGTCGATAAAATATTATGTAGCTGGTATCTATTACAATCTGCAAACTCTGCAAACTTGGTTGTGTTTTCAACAAATCGCAGAACCTGATGAAAAGCCCAGTTGAAAATGGTTCGTTAAAAATGAAACTCAGCGGCGTCTTATCGCGACATTTGCCGAATATAAAAATCCGATTGACCCCTAATAAGAATCTTTTAAATTTGTTCGCATGGACAAATACGGTCAAAGTTTGTTGATGCCAGACAAATAATTTGTTATATAGTCTATTCTCTACGATTGTTATTTAACCGAAACAAAACGCGACCTGCAAGCCTTCCAGTTTTTATTAGCAGAGGCAATGTTTAATTTTCATAGCAAGATAAAGTGAAATAATTCGTGTAGGATGTTTCTTTATGAAATTTTTTTAGAAAAGATGGCTGAAATTTTGAATTTGCGAGAGATTGAACAATAAAAGTATTTTGTAGCTTGAGTAAAAGAAGTTTTCCAAAAATAAAAGTTCTACTAGGGTTTCTTGACCATGAAGCGAAATAACAAAAGTATCATGGACTTAGCGTTTCCATAATGAAAGATGAAAGGTGTCGAGACCTTTCTTCTCTGTTTTTCACAATGTTATTAATTCTTCTACGCGGCTGTCACCCCCATATTGGGACAAAATGGGTTAATACGAGGGCTGCGTTTTATATTTCGGGATTTTCTTAAACTGCCATCTGGGGACTAACGTTTTTATAGAGACATTAGAAGAAGAAGTTTTGGACGCCACCGGAATACATAAGACGTGTGTAGCCAAAGTCTGACTTTGGTTGTAAAGATGCTGAATTTTAATCTAAGGAGATAAAATTTAATTCGATAAAACTAAAAATCTTGATTGCAATCAGTTCTTCTACCAACGAAAGATCCGAGAGTCTATAAAAATCTATGAACAACCTAATAATCTTAACCGCGACTCAGGTCTCTACCTGTCGCCAATATGAGAATCAGCCATCCGAGATGGTGTTTATGCCTTTCATTTAGCTCCGCCCTCCTCAAACTGTATATAAGCAGGTACAGAGTAAAATTTCGACTCAGCAAGAACCGACGCAGGAGGAATCCAGAAGTTTTGTAAAAGTACTGATGTTTCTTCATGAAATTTTTTTAGAAAGGGGGGCTGAAATTTTGAATTTGGGAGAGATTGAACATTAAAAGTATTTTGTAGCTTGAGTAAAAGAAGTTCTTCAAAAATGAAAGTTCTTTTCTATCGACTTTACGAAAACAAGTAAACATGTATGTGCGATAGTCATCTATGAAGAGACAATTTTGATAATTACAAATTTTTTCCTACTTCATACTTAAAATACCCCATGGACCGATCCAGTCCTCGAAAAGTGCCACTTTGAGGCAGCAACTTATATACCTATGGTCGCGAGCCACTTCGGACACTTCGGGTGCATTAGTCACGCACTTTCGGATGTTTTCGGAAGATTTTTTACCATGCACTGATGGTATTTTGAGGTATCCAAACACTAACGGTAGTGGAAAAAGTGTAGTATGCAGCACATTGATAGACTTTTTCAGTCAGTAATTTAATAAACAATTCGTGACTAAAGTGAAGTTTATCAAATTTGATGCCTAATATACTATTAAATTCAAAATTATAATATCTACGCATATGCACTTTACCTTGGTGAAAACTTCTTCTTTTTCTATGTCATAGAATACTCTCTATAGAATAGAATACCCTTTATTCTAAGACACATTCACATTCCGCAAAAAAGTTTTATTAACTAAAAATTGAACGCTGATTTCATATGATTTGGAATTTGGAACGTTGAAACTGCGTTTGATGTGTTGAACATATCAATGTTCTTTAAGACTGCTACAGTGGATAAGGAGTTTTCTTCCTTAGTTTCACAAATACTTTCAGGCGGCCATATTTAATTGCTAGATCAACAACAACTTGCGGGATTTTACTGTAAGCTAAGGATCTAAAAATGTATAGCCTAATTGTAAAAGCTATATAGTCGCTTACAATCAATGGATTGTTTTGCATTCTGCTTTGATTAAGAGTTAGTGATCTAACATTCGTTTGTCATACTGTATTTAATAAAGTTATAAAGTTACCAGTTTTGTGCTGTGATCTTTGATAAATTTCTCCTATTACGGTATTGCAGAACTTACATAGTGTTATTAGAAAGAGTACAGAACTTATTAAGCTCTGAAAAAGCCAACAGGATGATTGGCGAAACGTTAGCTGGCTCGAGTCAACAAAAACTTGTCCAAAGATCCAAAAAATGTTGATGTGCCCGCCATTGTGCCTTAACTTTGCTTAGACTGAAATTATTGTTGTTTTTTCCATATTTTGCGGTTTTATCATGTTCAAGTACGATATTTACTTGTGTTTGTTATTATTACCTGCAAAACTATCAATTCGCTAGAAAGTATAATGAAATAAACATGTTGGAAATATTTATGGTATAGGGGCTACATTTTCCGCATTGCGCATATAGGAAGACGAACCTGTAAGGTTCACTAAAAGGTCATTTTCTACGTGGTATCTGCGTACCCGCACAAAGACGAGGAAGCAAACGAACCAACTCGTCTGGGGATCTCGTTTTACGGAACGCACTCTACACTGATTTGTATTCTTCACTTATCACTGCTGCTACTATTAAATAAGTCAACCCATAAAACGTTAATTGATTTGTATAGAAGTCGTCTGATTAGTTGGTTTAACTCAGCGGGACTAACGTCAGGTCAATATGGCATCCAGATTCGCTTTTGTTTTCGTCGCGGCTCTCGCAGCATTCCTTGTAAGTGCTTGATTTATGATTTCGGAATAAAAATTCTCATTTTATAATATTAAATACATATTTTTTAAAATCTCTTTAATCATATTTCAAAAAGTTGCAGTAACAGTTCAAGTGACAGCTGTTATCATTGCATAATTTATGAGATTAATAATTATTAATTTATTATTATTATCAATTATATTTAACTCTTGTAGACTTTGCATCTTTTCCTGTAAAAATATGTATTATCCACAGGCAGTCACATGGGAAACCAATGCAACTATAATTCGCAGAGACGCGCCCACTTCTGAGAAGCCTTCGGACCTCGAGCAGGCTTTTAACAACATCAAACACGGCTTTGAGGAGTTCGCCCAAAAAGTTCAGGTAACGATTTTTATTTTGTTTTTGTTTAGCGAAATTTATTGTAGTACGTCGTTCCCATAGAACAATGAACTAGTGCAAAACGTCAGCAAGGCTTTCAACGATCTCGGTGAGAAAATTAAGGAAAGGGGACAGGAAATCATCGACAGGATCAACAGCGAGCAGACAACTCCGAAAAACTGACCTGCCGAAAGTGTCGTTCAGTTATAGCTAAACGTTTTATTAAAAAAATTACGTGGTGGGTTTGTTTCATTAGGAACTGATCGTTAGGTGCTCCTACAAACGGGTGTTCATCAATTTGCTCAAAATCAACGTGGGAAAAGGCTTTTTTTTATATATTTTGTTGGACAGTCAATTTTTGTGCTGGGACGTAAAAGAGTAGACTTGCTAAAAAAGTTAAAAATTAAAAATATTTTTGTGTAAGAGACGGTTCGCTGAAATGAAAAAAAAATGAGTTTAAAAAATATTTTTTAATTAACAATCTTTGTGCTCTCATGGTGTCCGTTCTATTTTGCTCTTAATGACAATTTTGAAAGTACGTTTTTATTTTATAACTTTTCAACAACTTGCGTTTGCATAAATTTAATAGTACATTATTTAAATATATTTGACACTATGAACTTGACAGTGAATTATGACCAGGATTTCTTAGAGTTAAAAAATCTATACTTTAAGAATTCTTAAAAGAGTTCCTGGGTTTTATTAGTGATGAGCCCTTGTTATTTTGAAATATGTTCGCAGCAGTTGTCGTCATATCCACTATGTGTATGTATGTATTTATATGTTGTAGTGTTTTTGGAAGGTAAAAAGTAAATAAATAAAAATAAAACATAATCTATTGATTTATCAAAGTAGCAAACTGATTTTAAACAATAAACATTACGACACAGCAAAAAACCCATTAAATCATCGGTTAATGTGATTAACAATAAGTAAAAGAAGAGAGAAAAATAAATTAATTGTATTAAGCTATACATGATAAACGCGGACTCACTATTTACAAATCTTCTGGATTCCTAATGCGTGGGTCCAGAAGATTGGTAAAATGTATGTGTTGAAAAAATAACCTATGGTATCTAGTATTGGTATTGTAAGGCAGAACTCATAGAATAAGTTAAAGTAGTTTCAAACCATTAAATTTAAAATTTTGAAAAATTTTAAATCAACTAACACTCTCAGAAATATACATTCCATTAGTTCGATTTTTTTTATATGAATATCATAAAAAAGTGACCACACTTCTTCAATAGTAGAATAAACCTAAGTACACATATGAAATGAGAAGTCCAGAAGGTACAGAAAGACAAATTTATCGTCAACATTTAATGCTCATCTTGGGTGTTATAAAAACCTTTATTGAAAAATTTAATTACACAAGTTACCATAACTAGTTATCAGTCAGTGCAAAAATGCACGTAATACAATATCACCACGAATTTAATTTTTCTTCTCTGTGAGCGATTTGTCCAGCTGCTCTTTGATGTTCTTGCTGACCTCCACCACCTGATCTAGCAAGCCCTTGGCGGCATTGGTCAAGTCGTTCTTCAATTCTAATATGAAAACAAAACGATTTTTTTCAATTTTTAAATCTGATGATGTCTCTGCTATACTCACGAGTTGCTTCAGGTTCTGCCGCCTTAGCCAAGCGTTTGGCTTCGGCGATTGCTTTTTCCAGGCCTTCGTCTAGGTTGGTCTTCAGCTCCTTGGCTTTGTTCGTAGCCTCCGGTCCAATCGCAGTCTGCAGCTTGGTGGCGGTCGTGGTGAGAGTCTCCTTCACTTGTTTCAAAACGTTGTCTATGTCGCCTTGGTGTTCCCGGATCTGTGAAGCGACCATCGAGATGATTTACAATGGTCGGATAATGGCTTGTTATATTCACCTGCTTGTTGATATCGTCAACAACGCTTTGTACTTTGGTGGCGAGTTGTTGGCTGTTTTTCTCCAAGTTCTCGATGACTTGTTTCGAGTCAGGGATGTTGCCTTGTACAGCGGTGCTTACATCTTTCACGACCTTTTGCGCATTAGCGGCCAGTTCGTCGATCTGGGATTGTTCCGCTTGCTTAGCTTTGGGTCTGGCCAAAGTGACCTGTAAGAATGATTCTCTGACGCAAAGAAATCGAAAACCGTGGCAATGTGCATGAAAGTTTTAAGCCCGAGTGAGAGAGTATGTAGGCAATTTTGAGAAGCAATAATTAATATTCTTATTACTTTGTAAGATGGTGGTTCAGTGTGCATACGAAAGAATCATAGACCTAGGGTACTTTGCTTTACTATTGAGGGTTGCCTATAAACTAACTCAAACTGACTACTGCATGTTCTTCGTTTTCCTCTGTAATAGTTACTAATTTTGCTGCTGGTGCAGTGGCTAGTTTTAGTTAGTTTAAAGGGATTATATCCCAAAAACCCTTTTTTTTTTTAAATTAAGTAAATGCACACTTTTTCATAAGTTGAAGAAATAAAGATAAAGATAAAGATAAATACTTTTCCAGGACCTCGCAATCTTGTAGGTTGCAGTATAGGATTCGCACGATTTTTTGAAGATATGAATATAGTTTTAAATGAAGGGTGTTTAAATAACAGCAGAAGATGGTGTTATAAACGTAGGTCCGAAAATATTTAGTTTCCGCGATAAGGGGTGATAATTATTAAAAGAAAACAACTTTTGTAATAAAGCACGAAAATCATTGCGTCGTAGGTTTCATGATTACAATTAACTTGGTGGTCATTTCTATTATTTTCTTCAGTATTAATTTTTGGATAAAAAATTAAATGGTCATAAAAATAAGTTTTGTCAATTTCATGATTTTTATTTTGGCACGAGAACAACTCCATAGTCAAAAAAGAGAACTTTCAGTGACTTATACAAGTAACATAAATTAGAAAAAAATCAGTGGCATACATATGTTTTACAATTTTAATTTAGTTTAAGCAAGCAAGCCCATTTTCAACAAAATCGGGCAAAGCATATTTAGCATGTTATAAAAAGGAATCATAATGAAATATTATTATAAAATAATTTAATATAAAATTATTTAACATCCTATATATTATAAAATAAGCAGTTAAGGACTTAGGTTTATATAACCTATTGTTTAGAGGTACCCTGCATAGGGTTATAATTATAAAACAATTATAAAACAACAGTTATAGATTATTATACTGTAGCTAACTAATTGAATAATATGAAAACCACACCTTGTGTAAAAAAATCGATATGAAACTCTATCGATATTGTTGATGTCTGGAATATCGAAAATTTCAGTTAATTTAATTTATATCAGAATTTCAGACTTTTCAAAATAAACAAATCATTTCAAAAAGTAGCAATTTTGTTTGTTTTGGTTAGTTGATGTTTGATGTTTGATCTCTCTTTTGTCTAAGTCGTTCAAAAGCCTCATTTTTTTTCGGAAATTATCGATAAAACACATTCTTCAAATGTAAATTACGAGCTTGCTTCAAATGAGATACCCTGCGTTGCTAACATTTACAAATTCCAATCGAAATTTTCTGATACGTCTTGTGATAAAAAGTAAACAATTATTTTGTAAACATCTACGTGACAACTTATAGCTATTATCAATTTTCAGTATATAAAACAAAAGAAATTCATTGCTCGAAGAATTTATCATATTTCGAATACCTTTTGCGATTGATTCTTGAACTGGAATAATTAGTTTCGAAAAATTCGTACAAAAATTAAGTGTCAAGTACGTAGGTAGGTTAATACAATTTCGTTCTACATTGAATAATAAACGTTAGAGGCCGTGCATCCTGCTATAAGCGAGACAGTTCGATTTAATTTTTGCCGTCGATGCATAAATAATTGCAACCCGCGTTTGTTGTAAAATCGAAATTACGTCAAGGAAAGTTCAATTTTCATCAGCTAAGCATTCCGGACGCTTTCAAATCAATTACGTTGCCATATTTGACGCCGCGAAAAATGACTTCAATATAAAATTCGACTCGCCAAAAGTTGCTAATTATATTTTCGCAATGTCAGGAGTTATCGCCTGATCCTATTAAAAATAGTAAAAGTTATCGGGAATATGTAAACAGTTAGATTAAAGTTCGAATTATTCATCGTGTTTGTTGTTTCTCTAATAAAATATTTTGATAACGGGGAAAATTACGGATGCATTAATCAACAAATAACCGCTGATAAAGTGCTGGAATAATCAACGAATGAATATTTTGCTACGATTTTTTTTGCCATATTTAAAAGCGCAACATTGAGGAAAATTGTGAGGAAATATATCTAAAAATATCTTTTAAAATTCCAGCAATGTGGAGTTGCAACTTTAAAAGAAACAATCTTTTCATCTGCTACCTAATTATAGGTACCTAATAAAACGTACAAGAGATTAGATAATTATATTAAAATTTTAGTTATTGTCTCGTGGGTCAAGCAGAAGAAAAATGTAGAATATTGTTTTAGATTCTTTTCCGAAAAATTAATTGTTACCGCCGACATAGTTAAGAAGCCGCCATTAGCAAAAAGAGGAGCACTAATTAAACCAGTTTTAAAATTATTGAAGTCACTTTGAATTGAAAACAATTAACTAATAGACCTGAACAATGATAACAGCGAACACAAGGAAAATTAATTGGTAATTTATTCCTGTATAAAAGCCATTTCTTTTATCAATTAGCAGTCTCAAAGGCAAAAAGGTTATCGAAAATGCGAAAATCAAATAACATCGGTCTTACCTGGAAAACTAGCAGGGCAGCTACGATGTAAAGCACAAACTTGGCCATGTTGAATGTGTGCTAACTGATGTGCGACAACTGGACTTCGTAAGTGAATAGGCAACACTGTCCGTGTGCTTGATATGTTAGGTCTTTTATAAGTCACAGACGTGCATCGTTGGACCAACCCTGGGGGCCAAGTGTGATAAGCAAAGGTCCTGCATTGGGATCCGTGATCAGGGCCGTACTCTGAATAAAGTTGACTTTGGTAATATCTTTTGCTTGGGGTGTCAAATTAAATGACGTGTTATTTTGTAATTAGAACTAAGACTTTTTTTAAGAAGAAATTCGGAAACCAAATCAGATTATTTCACATAGTTATTAATAAGTTTTTGAATTAATGATTAGTGCTTATTCCGTCACTGCTTACTACCCTTTTAAGAATGTTTCTCTAATAAAGTGCAAACAAGAGTAGGTAAAAAAATTCCAAACGCATCAGAACTAGCTGGATTTTTGTGATAATATCGAGGCCCTTTTTAGGCAGGTAATTTTCCCTAAAAGGGTAAACAACAACGCTAACAACGATAACGTCCACTGAACTTACTGCTCGGCTTTTTCGATTATTTTTTAAGAACGGCCAAATTCCTATTTGTCCCAGCGACCAGTGACGTAGGTAAATAATAAATGCGTGGAGATGAAAGAAATAATGCTGGATGTATCCTTGTGGCCTAAATCGATAGAGTCTCGTTTTTTGTGTTCCTTTTGGTAGTTCCGTACACATTAGCGATGTATTTGTCTATATTCTATTTAGAAATAGGCCAACGATATAAAATGAGAAACTATTCAGTAAACAACGTCTAGTCAACAATGTATTTATGATTAACAAACGAAAAAATCGGGAAAAATCGTTACGCTTTAATCACTGTCTGACAGACGATGACCCATTTGGAAAATTATTAACTTTTTCGAAAATAAAATTCAAGAAGACTGCAAATAGGAAACTGATGTAGATGTGCAATATTTTTTGGCTAATCCCCGAATTTCAGTATGAATGAAAGATCTTTGAGTCTCTACTTTTTCCAAATAACATAAACATAGACTTGTCCGATTCATTCGAATTGACTAGGTTCATGGAAATTGTCGTAAAAATAGATACAAAATCTAAAAATTGTTTTTGCTTTACAGATTTTTTTTTCCTATAGAATGTGATACCTTTTGACTTAAAATTTCAACATACACATACAAAATCTAAAACACCCCAAAAAAGATTAAACTCTGGTAAAATAATTATGACATTATTTTATTTATGTTTCGTTCAAGCTCGCATTGAAGTAGATAACACAGGCCAGCAGATATTTTGATGTCTGCGATATTTTAACTGTTACAAAAAACAAGGATATTTTGTACAGCCACGCAAAATGTCCATTGAGTGCTGGGTATTTATTTTTTTTTAAACCGGTGCAATTCTTTTATATTTCTTTTTCATGGTAGTAAAATGACCCACAGGATTTGAATTTGAACTGTCAATGAAAAGGCACCAATTGCTTATTTATTTCTAGTTTCCTATTATGTTCTCACATAATACGTAGTAATTTTCTTGAGCAAAAATAGGCAGCAGATCCTTTCACAAAAAATTGTAATATTAGTTCCTAGATAAAGTAGATTCCAACAACTAATTCAGCAGACTCCTTTGAGAACTTTAGATATTTTGTAAGCCCGTTCATTTTTTTTTATTGAAACACTGCGGAGTTGTTAAATTTCTTCTTCTAATTCTTCGACGTTGATTTCAGGAAAACTGATGAAGAAGATTAGTTTGTGTTCGGTTACGCAACAAATTTGTGTATAAATTTGTTGGTACCAATCTGTAATTCCAAGATCACTCTGGTTCCCCGAATCCGAAGTAAAATGACCGTAATCATGCCCTGACTTACCCCAAATTTCCTCGTGGAGGATGTGCTGGGTCGAAGGGAATGCGCTGCACCGTTCTACCGGAGGGTTCGACTCTTGAGGGTGTTGCACACTGCTTTTCAAAACAGGTGTTCAAATTTCCGACTCGCAACGCGCAATTCTCGATTCCGGCACGGCCGCTCGCGAAGTGCCGGAGGCAGGTAAAAATGGAGTAACAAAAAATGTATATATAAAAGAAGGAAAGGTTTCCCGGGAATAAAGGAGGGAGAACAAGACGGAGTATACAGTTGTCAAGGCATGTATATACGCACAAAATAATAATAATTAAACTATATCCCGAAACCCAAAGCACTTCCTAAAGTGAATGAATACCACCCAACGTAAACAAAAAAATCATTCGTAAAGTTAAATAAAAGTAAGATAAAAAAAGAAAAAGAAATACAAAAGTAAATGGAGACAGAACATTCCGCCCTCCCTGAAAATACCTGAGGGATCGGAAGGTTATTTTCTGAATCACATCGCTAGAGGAAGAGGGCAAAGCTTAACTAGGGGTCGCTTAATCAAACCCTTTGCGGTCCTTACGGTAGCCACTCTTGCAATATTATCTGCACCGGGATGCAGTTCTGCTATGCGACCTAGTGCCCATTTTAATGGAGAAGTCTGTTCGTCTTTGATTAAGACCATAGTATTGGAGTCAACGGACGCATTGTGGTCGTTCCACTTTGCCCGTTGTTGCAGTGTATGTAGATAGTCTTTGTGCCACCGACGCCAAAAGTCGCGATGCAATCTTTGCAAAAGTTGCCATCTAGATAACAAGTTCAATTTTAACTGACTTGTATCGGGATTTGGAATAACCGACAGAGGCTCTAAGGATAAAAAATGGCCCGGCGTCAACGCGGTCAAATCGCTTGGGTCCGTGCTAACGGGACATAAGGGTCTAGAGTTCAAGATAGCTTCGACTTGAGTCGTGCAAGTGTAAAGCTCCTCAAAGGTAAGAATTTGTTCGCCGATAACACGCAGTAAATGTGTTTTCGCCGACTTAATGTTCCTTTCCCATAGGCCCCCCATATGGGGTGCAGAAGGAGGGTTGAAATGCCATCGGATTGACTCGTGTATAGCTACGTGAGCATAGATTTCTTTAAGATGTTTTGAGGCGGCAACAAAATTAGTGCCGTTGTCCGAGTAAACGTTACTGACGCGGCCACGCCGTGCTATGAAACGTCGAAATGCGGCTAAAAAAGTATCGGCCGATAAATCGGAGACAATTTCCAAGTGCACTGCTTTAGTGCAGCAGCAAATAAACAGTACGATGTAGGCTTTAAGTCTCTTGGCGCCGCGTAAGCGATTCATGGTAATAGGAAAACTTCCCGTTAGATCAACACCCACGTTTTCAAAAGCTTTGGCTTGTGAAACCCGAAATTTTGGCAAGTTTCCCAGAAGGGGCTGAAAAGGCGTCGGGTGCGTACGCCAGCAAGTGATACAACGCGAAATTATTTTGCGTATAAGTTTCTTAGCCCCACATATCCAGTAATTTTGGAAAAGTAGAAAGAGTGTGGTTTGTACGCCGGTATGCATATATTTCTCGTGCAAATCCTTAATAAGTAAATCTGTAAACCGAGAATTTCTGGGTAAGAGTATCGGATATTTTTTATCGTAATCTAGTTCTGAATTACATAGACGTCCGCCAACACGCCAAATATCATTTTGATCTAAGAACGGATTGAGCTTCCTGAAAACTTTAGGTAGACGTTTACCTTTTTTGAGGAGTGAAATTTCGTTAGCAAAATAGCTCTGTTGAATATGTTTAACAAAGGTGTTAGTTGCGCTTTGTAATTCGAAAAAGAGTAGCCATGAAGGAGCAGTAAGAACCTTTGGTTCGTAAAATGTTTTGGAACGAATATTATGTATAAATCTTAGAACGTAGCCTAAAACCCGAATAAGTTTTCTAGCATTAGAGATGTTGTTTAACATAGTGTCTAAAAAGTGTGGTGTTATCGTCGACGTGAGTACAATTCTGCGCTCTTCTTCGAAAGCTTCGGAAGGGGTTTCGATTTTAATTTTAGTAAATTCCCACAATTCTTGCGAAGTGCGAAGAAATGCGGGTCCCTGCCACCAAAGCGTACATTGTATTAAATCCGAGGGAAGTAAACCACGTGAGCCGGGATCCGCGGCGTTGAATTCGGACGGAACGTGGTTCCAGTCGCAAGCCGCAATTTTTTCTTGAATATAAGTCACCCGGTTGGCCACGAAAGTTTTCCACCCGAAAGAAGCACCTTTTATCCACGAAAGGGCGACGGTACTATCCGTAAAGGCGATGACGTTTTGGAAAATTATCTTGTTAGCAAAGGAGCGTTGTACAAAATGCATTAATTTGGCAAGTAAGACCGCAGAACAAAGTTCTAATCTTGGAAGGCTAATTCTCTTAACTGGCGCTACTTTCGACTTTGCGCACACAAAGTACGATTTGTAGGTGCCATCCTGGTTCGAAACGCGAAAAAATATAGTGGCGCACATGCCTCGCTCAGACGCGTCGCAGAAGCCCACAATCTGACAAAAAATGGAATTGGAAAGGTCAATCGAACGGGGTATTTTAAAATCCGAAAACAAATTAAGTTCGCTGACGAATGTTTTCCATTTTAAAATAATGTCCGCGGGTGCAAGCTCATCCCAATCCAATTTCAATTGCCACAAGTATTGAATTAGAGTTTTTGCCAGAAATGTGACCGGGGTAAGCATACCTAGTGGATCATAACATCTAGCAAGTGTACTAAGTAAATTTCTTTTAGTGCATAATTTAGTAGTGCAAGTAAAAGAGTAAAAAAAAAGGTCTGTTTGCGGATCCCACCGCAAACCTAGTATTTTTAACGGAGTATCATTCTCCAAATCGAGGGAAAAGTCGCGAATCCGTACGTGGGTTTCTGGTAAATCCGCGAGTAATTTAGGTTCATTGGAAGCCCATTTTTTAAGTTCGAAACCTCCCCGACGGAGCAGTTCTATTAGCTGGTTTTTCATAAGCGAAAGTTGCTCTAAATCTGGACAAGAAACCGCACAATCATCTATATAAACCGACTCTTTTAGAATCTTAGAAGCGAGGGGTAGGTCGTGATAATCATCAGCTAATTGTAACAGCGTTCGAATCGCCAAGTATGGAGAGCAATTTATCCCAAAAGTTACGGTTTGTAATTCGTAATCGGACACTGGATCCTCGGAATTAAAACGCCATAAGATTCTTTGGTATTTCCTTTGACTTGATTCAACATTTATCATGC